GTGCGTATTAACTTGTGTGGCGCCCTTGTCTGCTTCGTTGACACAGCATTTTCTGATGCCTGATTATCTGGGTTCAGATCAGCGGAAGGTCAAAGAAACCAAGGAAGATGAAAAGGAAATTAAAGGTAAATAGTTTAATTAATTGAGATTAACTTCTTACTTAGCCCTCGACGAAGGGGATATCGCTTTGTTAAAAACATACGTAAGTTATTTGCTATATACTGATTTATTTTGTTCCAAGGGTGCGGCGTCCTACAGCAAAGAGATAAAACAATGTGAGGAGGATATTCAAACTTACCTAAAGCGCGTCAATGAGCTTACTGGTTTGTCTTGTTTACACTGTCGCGACAAGCCTAACTACCATACTAGGTATCAAAGAATCCGACACTGGTCTCGCTCCACCAGCACTTTGGGACCTTGCGGCCGATAAAAACTGTCTGACCAGTAAGATTTCATCGCTAGTTTAACGATTCAGATGAACATCCGCTGCAGGTTGCTCGTTGTACCAAAATAATCAACGCCGATCCCGAGGAGCCGAAGTATATAATTAATGTGAAACAGTTTGCTAAATTTGTGGTGGATTTGGCGGATACTGTTGCACCAATAGATATCGAAGAAGGCATGCGTGTGGGAGTTGATCGCACCAAATATCAGATCCATTTACCTCTCCCGCCTAAAATCGATCCTAGCGTAACAATGATGCAAGTTGAGGACAAACCTGATGTGACGTATAGTGATGTCGGTGGTTGCAAGGAGCAAATCGAGAGACTCCGTGAGGTAGTGGAAATGCCGCTTCTGCACGTAAGTATGGAAATACCGGTGTGTGATAGTACCATTATGTTAATTATGCGCTTGTGACCACAATTTTAAGATTATCCTTTGCTGGTAGTCCCGTATATGGTATTGGAGTGATTCACGGGTCCGAGGCGGTTGCTCAAATTGCTCGTATCTTTCTAAGGAGCCTGTTTTGCTTTTGTTGAAGAGCGGTTCTAGAGTAGAGTAAACTGGAGGTCATGGCTTACGCTAGACAATTAGTGAAAACGTTTACTGGTTATCGTAAACTACGTGACGATCTAAACGAAGTTTAAAGATCCCCTTATTTGAGTCCAGACTATCTTTTCTGACAGGACGTTCCATATAGATATGGTTCTGAATGTAAAACAGGACGCACGTAAGACAGTCCACAGATGGGGTTTTCGTCTTACGAGTTTTATGGTACGTGAAGCGCCCTTACTGGCTGTGATAGGAGAACAAATTGTTTTTGTTTGATCAGACCCCACAGACTTTATATTGGTCGGTTAGGGATGTTTAATGGGAAAGATCTATAGCAAAACGGCAGGGTGGAATGATATGCCAACAGATTTATCATGGTTGATTGGGAGACTCCAATCTACCGACCAGACTTTGGTCACATCAGTGCAGAAGGTATGCGTCTATACCCAAAATGAAGTCATCCGTATACGTCACTAAACTGGAGGAAACTACGCTAGGCAGGTTATTTATGCAAAATAAGGCAAACAAGGCGCAGAGCGGATCCTTGGAAACCAGTTGTGATAAAGAGTTGCCAACCTTCACTACAAGGGAACATTAGGAAACGAATCTACAAAGAAGTGCTAGCAAGGGATCTGCAGTTCCGTATGTTGTAAGAAAAAACTTCCTGAAGTCAAAGAATACGGCAAGACAGGTTATGTCATGTTATCCATGGCAGTGAGCATATTCACCGTAGGTATTCTGTTATACGCTTTTTTGTGACAAACAATAAACGGGATGAACCCGACAGTCATGGCGACCTGCTGTTCAGTGATGGAAACTAGTATCTAGTACCCCCGGGACCACATACAACCCCACTACGTTGGGCGACGGCACAGCTGTGGTTGTTGAACAGAAGTAGATTATTAGTTCATCATATTCCATAATTTCTATCTTGTGAATTCTGCATTGCTAGTTTAATTAGACTAAAGGGAGGTGAAGCAATTTAATCAGTCTCGAATAAATTTGGATTAGAAAAAGTGGATACTCTTGGGTTAAGCAAAGCCGAATGCTACCAGTCCCGTCCCCGGGTTGTGGATAGGGAGATACTTTCACCGAATAAGGTCAGCTGTGAATAACGCAAAAAACAAGCAGTCACCTGGCTACTGTTTAAAAGCCGCATAAGCCCAATGACGGTATCTCTTGACAAAGGTCAATGTGACTGGCATTTAAAACCTAGTCATTGATCCCCTCACTTCCGAGGCTAGGGGTTATTTCCTGCTGCCTTGCAGTTTGCACTTGGTTGTGCAAATGCTAGAGATGCGCCTTCAAAATAGAAGAACGCCGAGTGACATTGGGTGGCTCTCGTACCAAACTCCCAAGTAGCTTCATGCTCATGTCGGGAGCCGGCTAATCCTTTCCAAGGAGCTAGCCACAGTAAAGTGAAGTAAGACCATGCATTCACTGTTTTTTGTTGCTTTTTACCTATTCATTATACTAATTATAGCATCGGTAACAGATGATTTTCGAATTTGTATTCGATCTCTTGAGCTTTTATAACACTTGAGGTAAATCAGATGTTTTTGAACTTGGGCGCTTAATAACTGTCACACTCCGCAACTGTTGTATTCAGCCTCAAAACTTTTCTTGGGACAGTGAACTAGCTATGAAGCACCAACTGTTTCTTCAGACCTCAGACATAATATTGGTATTTTTTCCTCATGTGCTGTACATAGGTTGTTTTTCTCTGCCGCCAAAGTAAATGCTATTCCAGGAATTCAACTAGTAATTTAAAATTCGGCGGTGGGTGATATGTGAAGTCAACGTTCGCTGATATTTTTCGTGAACTAGCGAGGAGCACCGAATGGCATTTTGCAGCTGCACGTGCAGTTTGTGATCGAGAGCCAAAACTCCACCCCACAGAACAAACTGATTAGATATGTGCTTCGTTTTCCTTTAACGTTGGCGTTCGTCTCTAGCGACAGAATTTGGCAAAATCAGTCGAATGATAGAACATCCCATCGGGTTGACGTAAGAGACATACCCAGAGTTTTCTACAGACAATGGAAACAGTATGCATCTCTGTTGTCAGCGGCCGGCCACCTAAGTTGGCCTTCAGTTAATCAATTGCTGTTCGCTCCGTGCTCCGCCTACCTCATTGGATTCAGAGGGCAAAAGATTAATCCAGAATGGCGGACTGGTAATCAACTTAGAGCGGAATTACGTTTACCACAACGAGTTCTGTAGCTTAGTGTGCCGGTTTCTGTGAATAAACACCCAGGTCCTCGTGACTGTGATGTTCACCTTGTTTGTATTTCACATAAGTGTCATAAAAACGGCTAGTAAAATGCGAAGCATCAAATTAAAACAATACCAAACAGGTTCGTACGAACTTTCACATACGTTCTTTGTCCATATCCTCCTTGCATTATGAATTAAACTCGAGCCAGTGGGTCCGGTTAGGGTTCCCGAAACTGCATAGTCGTTGGGGCTCCCGAAAAATATGACACTTAAGTTTCAGGTACACATTCAGAACCTCGAGTTTCTCACACTTGTGGTTGACTATTTCTGAAATCGCACCGGATTCTGCTTGTTTTCACGATCATGATATGCCAGCCAAGGATTGACCAGAAAAATAAGTGAATAGAAACACATTCGTTGGCTGAACCGAGGTCTTCTCATCATATAGTTGTATTCAATATCCACTTACCCTCGGATCAACCAATAACCTGTTCTAGATAGAACTTTTAAAACCATGTAGACTGCAGACATGCTTCATCTCGAAAACGTATACACAATGACACTTCCACATAAACCTATCCTTACGCTTTTATCTCGTGTCGGGGACTCAGCGTCTAACATCATCAGTTAAGGCTAAGAATATTTCTTGACTGAATCCTCATCAACAGCCATATATGATCTACGCAGCCTAGTTGTTCGGTGTAAGTCAATGACGACAGTATGAAATTTCGTCGCTTATTCGTTTTGCCCATATATTCATCGATCGGTAGCGATTTTGCCGAGTAGAAACAACCTTCGGCAAGTAGTGATTGTGGCCCAGTGGTTTATTCGCTGCCACCGGTGTGATTCGGATCCGAGATTCGAACCACGCAACTGTCACCCAACTTTGGTGGTAGACAGCTTTGCTGTCGTCCGGTTCAATATTATGCCTATCGTAGTGTGGCCTAATGTGGTTCACTATCCCAAACTCCAGGGCTCAGGGTGCCGGTTACCATCACTGAATAGGTCTTCGCAACATTGGACCTCTCAGGAGCCAGTAATCCTGATGGAACAAAAGTGAGAGATCCCCATTTGCCAGCATCAATATAGAGACCGGTGGCGCCTGCAACGTCAACTCAAGAAAAGCCTTCAGAAAGATCGCAAAAACTGGTTGGCCAAATTAGCTAGTAAAATGGAGGCAGCTTCTGCATCACACCACCTGATACGCAGCACCGGAGGTCATCGCATACCAGTCAGTGACACCGTTTGCGATAAAAGTGCTCAGAATCTCCACAATAAAGAAGGACTTGATCGCTGGGCAGAGTATTTTAGTGAACAGTTCAATTTTTTTAAATACACACCTAGGTGTGATGAACAGCAGACGGGGTAAACCCCATAGTCACGAGGACCTGCTGTTAAGTGGTTGAAATCGGCAACCTAAGCCCCGGAACTTGGAGTGGCGAACCACATAAGACCCCGATAGGTTAGGCGTGGTATTGACCCGGACGACAGCAGAGCTGCTTACCACCAAAGTCGGGTGGCGGTGGCGGGGCTCGAATTTGACTCAGTGCTAATGCGGTCAGTCCAGCAATTGTCGTGGAAAACCCCATCAGAATTTAAAGTAGGAAGCTGCATTCAATCGTTAACGAAAGGAAAGGCAGCCGGAGCTGATGGGCTTCTCTCCATTCCTTTCAGGTTAAGCGGTGATTCTCGTTGGCTGGATTGCTACCTTACTTCGCAGCATGTGGTCGGAGGAGCTAACCCTTTTATCCTGGGGTGAATCGTCGATTGTTCAGATCTTCAAGAAATGTTCACGCAGCAAATGCGCAAACCACCGTGGTATTGGTTTAGTTTCCATCATCACTTCCGTCATACTTCGCCACCTGACACCCTAAGAGCAGATCAGGTCGCGGTCGCATCGACCTAATCTTTACTCCGTGTCAACTATTCGCCTGGAGAAACACACATCGCGTACTAACAATCGTAATGTTC